CACTGAGAGGGTATTACCAGGTAGTGGGGAGCCAAAGATATACCTTGCCCTCGGCCGCTCTTTCGCTATCGAGACGAGCAAACGAGATAGTTCATTCATTCATTCATTCATTCTTTCCTTCTTTCTTTCATTCTTTCATTCCTTCGTTCAATTAATCCTTCTCTCCTTCCTTCTCTCCTTCCTTCCTTCCTCCCTTCCTTCTTTCCTTCCTTCCTCCCTTCCTTCGTTCAATTAATCAATGATTCGCCCTATCAATCAATCATGTATTCATCTCCCCTTCCTTTATTCATTTACTTTCCTTCTTTTACCGAACCCAGTAAGCCTGAGAGGGTATTACCAGGTAGTGGGTAGCCCAAAGATATACCTTGCCCTCGGCCGCTCTTTCGCTATCGAGACGAGCAAACGAGATAGTTCATTCATTCATTCATTCATTCTTTCCTTCTTTCTTTCATTCTTTCATTCCTTCGTTCAATTAATCCTTCTCTCCTTCCTTCTCTCCTTCCTTCCTTCCTCCCTTCCTTCTTTCCTTCCTTCCTCCCTTCCTTCGTTCAATTAATCAATGATTCGCCATATCAATCAATCATGTATTCATCTCCCCTTCCTTTATTCATTTACTTTCCTTCTTTTACCGAACCCAGTAAGCCTGAGAGGGTATTACCAGGTAGTGGGGAGCCAAAGATATACCTCGCCCTCGGCCGCTCTTTCGCTATCGAGACGAACAAACGAGATGGTTCATTCATTCATTCATTCATTCATTCATTCATTCATTCATTCATTCATCCATCACTCATTCATTCATTCATTCATTCATTCATTCATTCATTCATTCATTCATCCATCACTCATTCATTCATTCATTCATTCATTCATTCATTCATTCATTCATTCATTCCTTCCTTCCTTCCTTCCTTCCTCCCTTCCTGTAATGACTAAATTATTCACCCAATCAATCATTCATGTATTCATCTCCCGTTCCTTTATTCATTCATCATTCCAGAAACACTGAGAGTGTATTACCAGGTAGTGGGTAGCCCAAAGATATACCTTGCTCTCGGCCTCCCTTTCGCCATCGAGACGAACAAACGAGATGGTTCATTCATTCATTCATTCATTCATTCATTCATTCCTTCCTTCCTTCCTTCCTTCCTTCCTTCCTTCCTTCCTTCCTTCCTTCCTTCCTTCCTTCCTTCCTTCCTTCCTTCCCTCAACGATTCATTCTATCCTTCCTTCAATTATTGATTTATTTATTCAGTCTCCCCTTCTTTTATTCATTCATCATTCCAGAAAACCTGAGAGGGTATTACCAGGTAGTGGGTAGCCCAAAGGTATACCTTGCTGTCGGCCGCCCTTTCGCCATCGAGACGAACAAACGAGATGTGTCCATCAAATGGTGTGTGGAAAATCTGCTGACCACTTACACCCTGGCTATGAATGTCAACGGACAGATGACGTCAGCGAAAAACGACTGCGTCACCGCCCCCTCGACTCTCAACACCAACCGTCCGACACCTTATGACGTCACACTGTCGCTCAATGAGTTCGCCGGATGTCAGAGGACGGAGAGCTTTAGGGGGACATTGCAATGTGGGTCTATTAGTTTATTCGTTTGTTTGTTTGAAATGGTGACGTTGGTGGTGGTGGTGGTGGTGGTGGTGGTGGTGGTATTGACGGTAGTTTTGGTGATGTCTTCGTTGTTATTGTTGTTGTTGTTGTTGTTGTTGTTGGTGGTGGTGGTGTCTTTGTTGTTTATCTCTGTTGTTGTTGTTGTTGTTGTTGGTGTGTTTGTTGTTTATCTCTGTTGTTGTTGTTGTTGTTGTTGGTGTGTTTGTTGTTTATCTCTGTTGTTGTTGTTGGTGGTGGTGGTGTGTTTGTTGTTTATCTCTGTTGTTGTTGTTGGTGGTGGTGCCTTTGTTGTTTATCTCTGATGCGCTTTACGGGGACCTTGCAATGTGGGTCTACTAGTTTGTTTGTTTGTTTGTTTGTTGCTGTTGTTAGTGGTGGTGCCTGTTGTTGTTGTTGTTGTTGTTGTTGTTGTTGTTGTTGTTGTTGTTATTGTTGTTGTTGGTACAGGTGTTGATGCTTTTGGTGGTGGCTTTGATGATGTCTTCGTTGTTGTTGGTGGTAGTGTTGGTGGTGTCTTTGTTGTTGTTGTTGTTGTTGTTGTTGTTATTGTTGTGTGTGTGTGTGTGTGTGTGTAGTAGTAGTAGTAGTAGTAGTAGTAGTAGTAGTAGTAGTAGTAGTAGTAGTAGCCTATCCGTTCGAAATGTTTTGAGCCCTGAAGTCCGTGCTCTTCGCCAGGGCCACCGCCTCCCTAGTGTTGCGGGTGAGGCCGTCCAACCTCCCTAAATCCTCCCCAAAGAGATGCCACCTCCGGACCTCCGTGGCGGGGCATCTCTGAAGCCAGTGCTCCAAATCTTGGGGTTCCTCACTGCACAAGGGACAGAATGGGTCCGATGTTTTGTATATTCTACGTTTGTAGTCCCGCTGCCCAGAGAAGTGACCGGTCCTGATTTTTGCCATTAATGGCTGGTCACTGCAGGACTTAATAAGAACCTCTAGTTTTAAGGAAATTGTTGTTGTTGTTGTTGGTGGTGATGGTGTTGGTGTTGTTGTTGTTGTTGGTGGTGGTGGTGGTGGTGTCTTTGTTGTTGTTGCTGCTGCTGTTAGAGGAGAAAACGTGTCATCAATATCATAATTTTAATAACCTTAGTCGCACAGACGGAAGAATTAGAGGGAAACCAAGGTATACAAAATGTATATGTGAGGCAGCGTGGTGGAATCAGGCTCTCGTCAGTTTTCGGGCATATTGAGTTATTGGTATCATCTTAGAGCGTGTTCATTTGTCTTGCTTTCAATGAAAAAATTACCCATTCTTCTTAAATAGAAGTGGAGATATTTTGGATTGAAGGAGGTGGGGGTCACCTGGTTTCAGAGGTAAAATTAGCGTGAAAATGGCCGCCAAAGCTTGGTAAATTCCAAAGCTATAAAGTCCATGGAAACTGTAAATGTTTTGTGCCCTTAATCCACGTTTTTGGGTGAAATCCTCAAAGGAATGTGTTTGTAAATGGACATAAAAGGTGTTGAGCCAAAAAACAAAAATTTGATAAAAATTGCTAAGCAGGGAGAAAACAGCTGTTTTCTTTGATTTCATTATTTTGAAGAGAGCCTGATTCCACCACGCTGACTCACATATATTACGTAATACAGATAGATGTAGGCTTTCCCATGGAAAACCGGAAAAGGTCCGTAAAAGCAACAGTCTTTGTCCTATTACAATAACAATGTAACAGTAACACATCATATCTCAACATGTGCTTTATTTCTCAATGTAATCACCATACCATCCCGCAGGACGCATTTTTCCCATCTCTGGATCAGGGAGAAGATACCCTCCCCGAAGAATTTTTCGTCAAGGGATTTCAACCAATCTTATCTTAATCCTTATCGTATCTTACCGTATCTTATCTTATCGTTTCTAATCTTATTTAATCTGTCTTTTCTTATCATATCATATCACATCTTATCTTATCTTGTCTTGTCTAATCGTTCCGTATCTTACCTTATTTTATCTTGACATTATCTCATCTTATCTTATCTTATCTTATCTTATATTATCTTATCTTATCTTATCTTATCTTGCAGACAACCCCGAGGCCCGCTCACCGACCATCCCGTTCCCAGGTTCCGGTGACGTAGAGACCAAAAAACAGGACGACGACGACGACTTTGGGCTGGACCTGGAGATTTTCTACGGCGGGATCCTGGGGGCTATAGCTGGCATCACTCTCATTGTCTTCTTCTTTTTGCTGTGCTGGTACCACAAGAGGAATAAGGATACCAGTACGTCTGTTTGTTTGTTTGTTTGTTTACCTGTTTGTTCTCTCTCTCTATTTCCCCATCTCTCTATCCTTCTGTCTAGCTGTCTATCTATCTATCTATCTATCTCTCTCTCTCCATCTATCTATCTATCTATCTATCTATCTATCTATCTATCTATCTGTCTGTCTGTCTGTCTGTCTGTCTGTCTGTCTGTCTGTCTGTCTATCTATCTGTCTATCTATCTATCTATCTATCTATCTATCTATCTATCTATCTATCTATCTATCTTCGGGATGGTGGAATAAGCGGGGCGGGTGGAGGGATAGGGCAGTGGAGGGAGTGGGTGGAGGGAGATGGAGGAAGTTGGCGAGGGAGATGGAGAGGGAGACGGATAATGGGGGAGGGAGCGGAGAGTGAGATGGGAGGGGGTGATGGTGGAAGAAGTGTAGAGGGAGTGGATTGATAGTTGGGATTGAGGTAGTGGAGGAAGGGTGAGAGAGAGAGAAAGAGAAAGAGAGAGAGAGAGAGAAAGAGAGATAGAGAGGGGGTGGGGGGGTTGTAGGAAAAAGAGGAAACCGTGGGCAGCTGGCACTGGGTATCAAATTGACTCTCCAGGTTCTTAACATGTTTTTATGCATAGTAGAATTGTAAAAGAGCTCATTTATCAATGTCATGCTCATACTGTGCCGGAACAACATAGGGGGAACTGCTGCTTTTTCTTTCCCTCATCCTTACTATCGTCATTTTCCTCTACTTCTTTTGTATGTTTGTCACTGTCTTATGAACTGCTGTTTCCAGTGTGCCTTGGTAGTCGAAGCAGACTTTGTGCTGTTGAGGCTATACAGTTGAGCAGAGAAAGCCTGATTCCCTGTTTGGACTTCTCTGTTGACATCCACCTCTTGGTGCTCATTATTTATGATCTAATGCAGTTGCAAGCGCCGTAAAACCTTACTAATACATGCACTAAAACTAAAACAATAGTGAGGTCAAATATTCGAGTGCAACTTATCTTCAAATATCTTTTTAACGGGTGAATCAATGTCACCCATACTTTGCAAAGCAGTTTGTATCAATTTGTCTTAACTTAATCCTATTTTTCCCCAACAATTGAGGCTAGATTAAAAAAACATTTTTTTCATAAATTTAAAATACTACAAATTAATCTCCTTCACGCGGAAAATGAAATTGTTCACAGCACTTCCCGCTTCTCACACACATTTTGCGTACGCATATTATGGCCTACGTCACAGCTCATCATTTTTTAGTTGCAAAATTTGTTACAAGAAATTAATCTAATAGCGAACACTTTTGTTGCACTTAGTAGAGTTCTCAAAACATGCATTCGATAAACATAATTTCGCGATTAGAAACAAATGACGGACTTGCTTTTAAAAACGATTTTGTCCCAGCTGTAAACCTTTCATAAATCTGTAGAAACCACCCACTGGGATTTTTTAATCGTATTTATTAAGGACTTTTCTAGAATAGAGCTAACAGGTGTTTACAATTAATATAGACCTGTTAAGACAAATTGATACACGTCACAGTGCAAAAGCTGGAGAGTTTATGTTCTGTAGTTGAGGAAATAGGTGCGCCACAAATTGGTCGCTTTTAAGCACAGGGGGTCAATCCCGAAAAAATGCTGTTTTGAGAAAATCGACGGTAAAGTTTCTGCCCCTTGTTCAGTTTCTTAAAAAAACAAACAAGGAGAGTTTTCTCTGTAACCAAACAAATATAAACACCAATGAAACCAAAATTCTCCAATAGGTAGGGCAATGCCCACTTTTAGTGTATTTCAAGATTTCTGGAAACCCCCAAAATCTGGGTTAGCCTGCTTGTTCTTGAAAGTGACACATTTCTTACCACACTATAAACAATTATTCTTTCCTCTCCACAGTCATGGCTATGGCGAGAGAGCACGAGCTGAGCTCCACAACAGGCGAGTTCACGGCCCTCTAGATGGATGTGGCAGAAGATATTCGGAGATGTCTTCGGCGAGCACCAAGGAACTATTCAGGGACGTACTCCCACACACAGATGCACTGCTTTGGGGGGTTAAACTGCGTATTGTTTGCTGCAGATCACACATATTATAGCTACTAAAATTGTCGAAAATCAATAATTTTCAAGAAAATTTCAAACTTAACTGCAAAATATCAAATTATGGGTCCCCCTGTAACCTCCCTGATTTTATTACTTGGTCTGGAGGCACAAAGCATTTTGATTGGTCTATTTCCGTCGGAGATGTCTCCGAATAGATACTTCGGACGTATGCAGAGCTACGCGCATGCGCGACGTTGTGATGGAGACCATGAGTGCTTCCGAAATGATTTTTTAAATATAGTGTATACATAAAATGTTATATATTATGTTTCTTCGGTCCCGCGAGGCTCAATAATTTGTAAGTTCTGCAAGATTATTTTTCTCTTCCGATCTCTTTCTTTTTTTCCTTTAAAAAAAAAAATGTTTTTTCCTTTTTTCCTTTTTATTCTTAAAAAAATCACTGTTCCATATATATCATATCATCCCAAAACTACCCGTACACATCGAAACACACACATAATATACATACGCTCTCTCTCTCGCTCTCTCTCTCTCTCTCTCTCTCTCTCTCTCTCTCTGTCACTCTCTCTCTCTCACACACGCATGCATACATACACACGCATACACACCCACATACACACACACACACACACACACACACACACACACACACACACTCATATATACTTAAACACACTACTCCTATTTCTGCTACCAAATGTCATGTATCATTTTCTAATGTTTTATTCACTTGTTGATGTTTTTGCTAATATTTATTTTTTGTAAATTTTAAGATGGGGGTTTTAAAAGAAAAAAAATAGAGAGGGAAGGGGGCAATCGCTCTGACTGTTTTAAAATGTTCAGACATTACATTGAATCTATCGCATCCGCCCCCTCCCCGTCCCCATTTTCTACATTTCCCTTCCCCTTTCCACCATTCCTCAACTTATTATGCATTATCCAACTGTATTAATTAACCCTATCCGTATGCCGTGGGGTTATTTTGTACACCCCCCCCCCCCCGAATTGTATTCTTCACATTTTAGAATACTTCTAGTACTACTTCTAGCCTCTAGTGCGAAGGTCTCTTTGAAACTTTCAGTATTTTTCAAAAAATCATTTTGACAGACTGCTATGCAAAGCGTACGGATCGGATAAACGAGTAAATTTCCTCGTTCGAAAGTGGTGGCACAGAGTTCCCTACGTCGTATGGATACGATAGTAAAACACAACGTACGGATAGGGTTAATATGAGCATCATATTGCTAGAACACTTTTTAAAATAAGCTTTTCTTTGCATCGGTGAGTTTGGTTGTCGTTGGATTCGATATTATGACGTTGAGTCTGATGCGAGACGAAAGATGATTATAATGATATTTATTAATAAGTACTTTCATAACTTTGCTAGCATGTTATTGTGGCTAATATTAATAATAATATTGTTCTGCCCCCGTCGTTTTAAGCAAGAAAAATTCTGAAATTATGCTAACTGAGCCCAAAAAAATGTGAAATTATGCGATTCTAATTTTAACAAAGAATGATAAATGAAAATAATCAGAAATTATGCAAAAAATGATCAAATTTTGCAAAATTATACGGGGTGCATAAAACCACAGGGACAGAGTGTACGTCTTTTATATTCATTTTCCTGGTTAGTAAGTACATGTTTTGTATAGCAAGGTTGATGACAGTATTGTTGTTGCGGTAGCTTTTGTGACCATTTAAATGTGACCTGTGTTCTGGAAATATGGATGTGTGTTTTGCGTTATAATGTTTGGACCTGTGATTGTGTGTGTGTGAGTGTGTGTGTGTGTGTGCTTGAGAGTGTGTACGTGTGTGTGTGTGTGTGTTTGTTTGTGTGTGTGTTTGAGCGCGCGCGCCTGCTGCGCGTGTGTACGCAGGTGTGTGTGTGTATGTATGTGTGTGTGTGTGTGT